AAATGACATGTACTGTCCCTGACCGTAGTTACAGCTCCACACGTCGGCGCTGCCGTGCACTTTGGCAGAGACCGACATGCTCAAAGACTGGCCCACCATCTCTTCTACATGTGAATGCAGGGCTGGCACTGCCTTTTTGGCGAAGAAATGACGGCTTGGCACTCTCCACCGCGGCGCGGGCACAAGCCATCATTTCTCGGAAAGGTGCTGAGTCCACCACTTGGAAAGGGAGGGACTGCAGCACCAGCAACTTGGACAGGAGGACGTTCAGCTTTTGCACCGTCGGGTGCGTGCTCGCAAACTGTTGTCTCTTGGAAACGGATTCCAAGAAAGACTGCTGACGGAATCCGTGAAGAGGAGTAGCAGGAGAAGGAGCATCTGAACGAGCGGAAGATGCCAACGAGCGACAACTCCCCTCAGCAGAGGTGTTGGAGCCTTGACTGGCTGATAGAGGGCGATTGACGTCGGGTGACGGAGCAAGTAACGGAGCGGGTGATGGAGCGGGGGCTGGGGCGGGCAGAACCGCCGTATCTTTATCACGGTTTTCCCAGGCCACCAAATGGCGACGCTGCATATGCTGCCGCAACGCTGTAGTCCCAACATGGGCCCCCTGGCCACGCTTGACTTTCTGGCCACATAGTCGACATACGGCTACGTTTACTATCCTCGGGCGGCTTGACGAAAAAATTGCCACACCGCCGAGTAGGAAACTTTGCCCCCGATACTCCTCACTGGCTGACTGCTACTTCCTCTCCGTGCACACCGGCACCACTACTGGCCGTGGTGGTAGGCTGCAGTGGAGCTGGTGCTCTACTCCGTGGCCGTTTGCCTCCACTGACACTGCTGCGACCCTGCTGCCTCCTGGGCAACCCACCGACTGTTTTGCTCGCTGCCAAGCTGCCACCCTCTTCTCCTGATGATGCGGAAGCAATAGCCTGATGACGACGAGGCTGCCAAGTGCGATCAGCCTCATCATCATCAATTAGGGTCTCCGCCTCACTACTAGCCCCCTCGGCTGCGTGTGGGTCAGGAGACAGACCTGTCTCTAGACCGGCTACCGAGCCACTCTCCTCGCCACTACTTTTTCGCCTGGCTGCTGAAGAGGCGGATGTCTCTCCCCCCGTTCCTGACCGCCCTCTGTTAGCTCTTCCTCACTGTACAGTGGGGCTGAGCCCACAGCATGCGATACTTCGCTTGGTGAGGGAACACCAAAGGACAGGGGCAGGTAGAGGACACGTGATTTCAGTGGGCTTGCTCCCGGGCCATGCCAACTAACGGTTGTGTCTGACGTACCCACCGACCGTTGGCTGTAGGTGTCAGAGGTGACCTGGGAAGAGGAAGACGACCGAGCCAACCAATCGATGACGGCAGGGTTGTCGGTGGAGACACGACCGCTGGATGACACCGGGAGCACTGGCCTCTGGCTGCGACTAGTGCTGCCTCGACCCCTTCCTCTGCTGCCACGTCTGCTCGCTCCTAAAACATTGCCTCCTCTGCCACTCCTCTGCATGTTGTCTGACATACTCTTCTTTAATTAAACGATTCTGTGTCCCTGAGTAACAATTCTGTGTCTGTCCCTGAGTAACAATTCTGTGTCTGTCCCTGAGTAACGTTTCTGTGTCCCTGAGTAACAATTCTGTGTCCCTCAGTAACAATTCTGTGTCCCTCCTCCCTGAGTAACAATTCTGTGTCCCTCAGTAACAATTCTGTGTCCCTCAGTGTCCCTGTGTCAGAGTAACAATTCTGTGTCCCTCAGTAACCTGAGTAACAATTCTGTGTCCCTCAGTAACCCCTGTCCTCTGTAACAATTCTGTCTGTCCCTGAGTAACAATTCTGTGTCTGTTTTCCCTAAGTAACAATTCTGTGTCCCTCAGTAACAATTCTGTGTCCCTCAGTAACAATTCTGTGTCTGTCCCTGAGTAACAATTCTGTGTCTGTAATGTTTTCCCCTCAGTAACAATTCTGTGTCCCTGTAGTAACAATTCTGTGTCCCTCAGTCCCCTAAGTAACAATTCTTTCTGTGTCCCCTGAGTAACAATTCTGTGTCCCCCTCAGTAACAATTCTGTGTCCCTGAGTAACAATTCTGTGTCCCTCAAGTCCCTGAGTAACAATTCTGTGTCCCTCAGTAACAATTCTGTGTCTGTCCCTGAGTAACAATTCTGTGTCCCTAAGTAACCAATTCTGTGGCCCTAAGTAACGTTCTGTGTGTCCCTCAGTAACAATTCTGTGGCTGTGTCTGTCCCTAGTAACAATTCTGTGTCCCTAAGTAACCCTGAGTAACAATTCTGTGGCCCTCAGTAACAATTCTGTGGCCCTCAGTAACAATTCTGTGTCTGTCCCTGAGTAACAATTCTGTGTCCCTTAAGTAACAATTCTGTGGCCCTGTTCTGTGGCCCTAAGTAACAATTCTGTGGCCCTCAGTAACAATTCTGTGGTCCCTAAGTAACAATTCTGTGTCCCTAAGTAACGTCTGTGGCCCTAAGTAACAATTCTGTGTCCCTCAGTAACAATTCTGTGTCCCTAAAGTAACAATTCTGTGTCTGCCCTAGTAACAATTCTGTGTCCCTAAGTAACAATTTCTGTGGCCCTAAGTAACAATTCTGTGGCCCACTCAGTAACAATTCTGTAACAATTCTGTGTCCCTCAGTAACAATTCTGTGTCCCTAAGTAACAATTCTGTGGCCCTAAGTAACAATTTCTGTGGCCCTCAGTAACAATTTCTGTGTCCCTCAGTAACAATTCTGTGTCCCTGTAACAATTCTGTGGCCCTCAGTAACAATTCTGTGTCTGTCCCTTAACTTTCTGTGGTCCCTAAGTAACGTTTCTGTGGCCCTAAGTAACGTTCTGTGGCCCTCAGTAACAATTCTGTGTCCCTCAGTAACAATTCTGTGTCCCTCAGTAACAATTCTGTGTCTGTCCTAAGTAACAATTCTGTGGCCCTAAGTAACGTTTCTGTGGCCCTAAGTAACGTTTCTGTGGTCCCTCAGTAACAATTCTGTGTCCCTCAATAACAATTCTGTGTCTGTGTCTTCTGTGGCCCTAAGTAACAATTCTGTGGCCCTAAGTAACATTCTGTGGCCCTAAGTAAGTGGCCCTCAACGTTTCTGTGGCCCTAAGTAACGATTCTGTGGCCCTCAGTAACAATTCTGTATCCCTCAGTAACAATTCTGTGTCTGTCCCTGAGTAACAATTGGCCCTAAGTAACAATTCTGTGTCCCTAAGTAACAATTTCTGTGGCCCTAACTAACGATTCTGTGGCCCTAAGTAACGTTTTCTGTGGCCCTAAGTAACGTTTCTGTGGCCCAGTAACAAATTCTGTGTCCCTCAGTAACAATTCTGTGTCTGTCCCTAAGTAACAATTCTGTGGCCCTAAGTAACGTTTCTGTGGCCCTAAGTAACGGTTCTGTGGCCCTCAGTAACAATTCTGTGTCCCTCAATAACAATTCTGTGTCTGTCCCTAAGTAACAATTCTGTGTGTGGCCCTAAGTAACGTTTCTGTGGCCCTAAGTAACGTTTCTGTGGCCCTAAGTAACGATTCTGTGGCCCTCAGTAACAAATCTGTGTCCCTCAGTAACAATTCTGTGTCCCCCTAAGTAACAATTCTGTGGCCCTAAGTAACGATTCTGTGGCCCTCAGTAACAAATCTGTGTCCCTCAGTAACAATTCTGTGTCTGTCCCTAAGTAACAATTCTGTGTCCCTAAGTAACGTTTCTGTGGCCCTAAGTAACGATTCTGTGGCCCTCAGTAACAATTCTGTATCCCTCAGTAACAATTCTGTCTGTCCCTGAGTAACAATTCTGTGTCCCTAAGTAACGATTCTGTGGCCCTAACTAATGATTCTGTGGCCCTAAGTAACGTTTCTGTGGCCCTAAGTAACGTTTCTATGGCCCTAAGTAACGATTCTGTGGCCCTAACTAACGTTTCTCTGTCCCTAACTCTCTCCCTGCATACAGCCAGGTCTGCCTCTGTTGAATGACTGGAGGCAAATGGAGAATTGTAAAATGGCCGCCATTTATAGCTCGACCATTACACTGTACTGGCTGGCTGGCTGCTGATTGGCTAATGCGATCACATGTCATGAATGAATGCATTATGGGTCAGCGCGCCTTGTCTGCGCGCCTTCCCAGACATCCCCGCTCCGTCGCCGCACATGTCGCCGCCATTTTAGGAAAAATTTCGATTCGCGCATCCGAAGTCTGCTTATTTTCGGATTCGACGCGAATCAAAATTTTCCTAATATTCGAAACGAATTCCACTTTGCCTACTTCGATTCGCTCATCTCTAGATATAAATATTCAGCCCGAGCTACTCTTTAATTTTCACAACTGAAGGGCAATTATTATTTTTTGGCAAAGGTGGAGTGGGGCTTTAATCCAGGCCAGAACCTCTCTAAGCAGTAAGGCAAGCATAGCTATCTAAAAACAGGTCAGCCGAGACAACTTCCATATTTCTTACCCGACAGCTTCCCTCTAAATGTTTCTATTCCAGAACAGCAGATGCGGTCATCATCATTCATAACAGACGTGGCAGCAAACAAGGATAAGACAAGATCGAGCAGTGGAACTCCGGAGCATGTTCCTGAATACATTACATGCCAGTGCCTCACCTGAGGCTACAAACATGGAAACACGATCCGCCACTCTTATAATGAGAAGGAATAACTCACTTCATTCCACCATCTGGAAATTTTAATTTTGGGCATTTTAATATTCATTCAATTAAATGCAAGGTTTTATTTTTTCTCAGCACTTGTGAATGAACACCTCTGATATTGGAGGAGATACTTTATAAGGAGTAAGAAATGTCAGGGACGTGATGTCTTTCTATGGCCATTTAAATGTAACCCACAATATAAAACCCTTGGTCTGTTCAATTACTGTGCTAATTTTCCAAGACTGCTCATCAATTGCAGAGGAAACATGAACGCCGCTAATGTTTCTCCAAAAGGTGAGAAATGAAATGTCCAATTAGTGGACCATATGTGAAGCTTAAAGTGTTACTAAACCCACAACAGTAAAATCAGTCTGTATATGCAGTAAAGCATGTTTGTTATACTCATTGTGGAACCTAAAGGGTTAATCCTCTGCATTGGGTAAAAAGGCTGTTTGATCCTGTCTTCTGTGCTCCTCCTCTTGCTCAAATGTCCACCTCTTATCTCCTGATAAGACAGACTGAACCCGTAGCCACATGCACATGCTAAGATTAGTGTGTATTGCTAGAGAGGTTTTTTTTTTTCTTGGGAGAGTGCATGTGATCAGCACAGGGCCAATCAGCACCGTCCAGACAGAGGTCAGGGGATTTCCATCCTCCTAGAGCAGAAAGAAAACTCCTACAAGCTTTAACCAGTGTTCAGCTGGACATCAGATGTCAACAGCCCCCCACCATCAGAAGTCAAGAGCTCCCCACCCTCCCTTACATCACAGTGCATCCTCCTTACCTTCTGCTGCTGATAACGTCATACGACGAAACATGTAGGGGAGGCTTGATAGCGTTACTCTTGTCCTCTGAGAAGTAATTGCTTTTTGCTGGGATTTAAAGTGCCATACACATGGTTTTTATGTAAGCGCAATTTTAAATGTTTTTTACCTAATAAATATGGTGTTACGCTATGGAAGTTTCATTTTGATGTTTTTTATGATGGTGGAGGAGTACTGTGGAGGCTCTGGAGGAGTTTTGTCGCAAACGATTGATCTGGAGGTGTTTCCACTATGGAGTCTGTCATCAGCGTATAGAGGTGTCAAGACCACACAGACGGCCAACTTTCCTGCAGGAGAGCGCCGCAATATCTCATGCGATATTTGATCTAACATTGCAGGTGGTCAGTTATCTGTGATGAGTGGGGCTCTGGAGGGGGAGCACTAATTGGAGCAATACACACAGAGAATTGCTATGGAGAAGAAGATTTACTACTGTATCACTTAATATTCACACCGGATGCGGATGGGGTTTCTTTGGGATTTTTTTGGAACTTTCAATTGTTTTGGAACTTTTATATGTTTGCACATTATTGGGACTTTTATATATATATATATATATATATATATATATATATCTTATATAATTTCACTGTATACACAGTTTATGGCATTGTATATGTGCTATTTTTAGCAATATCATCATTTATGCACCTTGTATTCACTTATTGGTTTATTTAGGATTTAATCACTGGGCAGGAGGGATATAATTGCCAGCCCGCGGGTCATTATAGCACATGCACATTTGTGGGGACTCTTTGTTTAGTAGGGAGTTCATTCATTTATTTATTAATTATTTAAAGTAGTCTTTGGGAGAGGCAGCGCAGCAATTTTTATGTTTTAATTACCACCTTAATCAGCCACAGAACCTGTGTAATTAATAAGTGTTCGGCTTTAGAGGGATGAAGTGGCAATTCTATGACATCTAGTTTTTGAAACACAACCAGCTCATTGAGGAAAACCATTAAGTTGTTGCGGCCTGCAAAGAAATGAAGTTTGGCACTCCTGATCTAAGAGAATGCAGAAAACTTTCCCTGATGTCCTTCCATTTGCTCAGATGGTCTCAGGCTTCATTCACATCAGTAGAACAAAAAACACACCAAATCACGCCCTTTGAAGATGAGCAGCAGTGCCATTTAAAGGATAAGCTCACCTTTTGTAAAAAAAATATTAAATGCACAACTTTTTTGTAGGGAAAGAAAATGCATTTATTATTTTTTTACCTGCAGCCTATAAAACATTGCACCCGCAGCCAGCGGATCATGGGTGCGGTGCCAGGATCCTGCAGACTATCAGTATAGCTGTCTGCCCACACCTCCTGTATGGGCAGACATTTGCTGAAATCCAGGAAGAATCAATGAAGTACAAGAGCACTCACCAGTCCTCTCACAGTTCAATGAGAACTACAAGCCATCTGCCGCAATGTCAGACAGTAATTGTAGTTTATTCATTCACAGGAAATTGAATAAATGATGCGACTGTGTGGTGGAGCCCTGCATGGCCATGCTGTTTTTGAATGGTGACAGCAGGTGCAGGAAGAGGATCCCCTACTCACTGTCTCAATGAGGGATCAGTGGGGATGCAGGCAGGTGCTCTTTGATAACATGTGATTACCCATATTAACCTCCCTGGCGGTATTCCCGAGTGTAGCTCGGGGTAAAGTTTCAGCACCACAAGCGGTAACCCCGAGCTACACTCGGGAATACCCTGCAGCGTTGCTCCGGGATCCCTTCTGTGCTTACCTTGTCCTGCGCTCCCGCGATATCCCTCCTGCAGTGTCCCCTGTAATGTCCTCCAGCCGATGCCAATGCATCTGTCTTCCGAGTTCTGTTCCCTGCGATGTCAGGACGTAGGGGGGACGGAATGGCGGGAAATTTAAAAATGTCAAAAAGTGACATTCACTAAATACACTAAAATTACATTACTGTATCAAACCATTTCACATACATTTTGTCCCGAGTGCTTTGTCCTGTGCCCTGCCTGCATTTTTACTGTTCTTTCTGCCTGGAAACTGAGAAACGTCCATGGCGTCCAAAAAGCATCCCTTTAGGTCAAAAGCAGTTTTAGACTAGCTAGAGAACAGCGATAGTAAATCAGAACCACTTGCAGAATTGAGTGATAATGATTCGTGGGGAAATGCGTCATCAGACCCTGAAAACGATTTTGCAACTTTGCTCAGTGATGTGCGAACTTGGCGCTATATTTCAAATTTCAGTGTTTTTTGGTTTAATTATATTATTGAATTAAATTTATTATTATATTATTATTCCTAAAAATTCCAGGCCTACAATAAAAAAACTACATATTTCCATGCAAAAAAATGTGCCGCTTTGAGCACAGAAATACTGACATAATCAGACCGCTAGGGAGGTTAAGGATGTAACATGTTACCAAAGGTGAACTTACCCTTTAATTCTTAATGACACCTCCATGCATCTTGCAAACATGCACGCTTTCGCATGCACCCATGCAATACCATGCGGTTTGGTGCACTGCGATTTTTATTGTGGTGCAGACACATGTTTTGCGTGTTTCTCGCACTGAAATGAATAGGCGACACGTGAGAATGCACAGAAATGCGCAAAAAAGCATGCATTTTCTGTCGCACCTTTCAAGTCTAAAAGAGATAGAAAAAAATGCACTCATCCTTTAATGGCCATACTTAGGGCTCATTTACATGAGTCTTGCTCTCTGAAGAGCGATCCGAGGTGGGTGATTTTTCAAAGGGCATTCACGGGGGGGGGGGGGGGCCTGTGTGAGGTGTTCTGTTGCCTTTTCACCATATGTTTTAACACCTAAAATCCTGCAGCACCGCACAGCAGCCATATGCACAGTTGCAAGGTGGGCACGACGCTGCCATTCACTTGAATGGGTTGCATTTGGTCGGCGCTACTGTTGCTAAATGTGACAAGGGGGATAATTCTTGCCACACAGTGAATGAAAGCATCATGGCCACGGAAAGTATAAAACTCTGTAAGAGGGGAAGGGGAGGGAGATAAAAATGCCCCCCAACTGCTAGGGTAAAGTCAGCTTTACTGATCATTACTGGACATTACAATCTAACATGCATTGATGAAAATCATTTACATTCAGGACCGGTTCACACTACAAAAGAGCACTCTGGATCAGGGGCGGACTGACAACTCATGGGGCCCCCGGGCAATAGGGGATCATGGGGCCCCTGTGTCCTTGCCCACACTCAAAAAAGCCTATGAAAAAGGTACCAGGGGCATCTCATGGGGCCCCCTACTGACCCCGGGCCCTCGGGCGGTGCCAGAGTTTCCAAATGGTCAGTCCGCCCCTGCTCTGGATGCATTCCGGATACTTTTTTGCTTACAGTTCACACCACATGCAGTTCTGGTGCAGCTTTGATGCACTTTGTCATGTTCCAGTACAGTTCTGTGCAGAAAAAATGCAGCATGTTCTACTTTTTTTCTGCATTGGAAACTGACTGGAACTGACTGCACTGGTGCATTGGAATACTGCATTGGAATGCATGGAAAACACTGTGCATGCATTTTTGATGCAGAAAAAAATACACTGGACTGCATCTAGTGTGAACTAGTCCTAAGGGCCAGTTCAAACTATAGAAATGCAGTCTAGATGCATTCCAGATGCATTTTTGATGCATTCTGTTGTGGTTTTGATGAGTGCCAGTGAGTTTTTTTATGCATTCCAGTAAATTGTTTTCCCCCTCTCTTTTTCTGCAATTTAAATAGGAACATGTGCATCCCGGTGTGTGTTTCATGCGTTTTGATGCATTCCAGTGCGTGTTTGATGCGTTTTACCACATTCCAGTGCAGTTCTGTGCAGGACAGAAAAAAAGTAGCCTGTTCTACTTTTTTTTCTGCATCCAGAACGCACTGAAACTGCAAGCAATGATGTGAATTATGACATTGACAAACATATAACCTATTTTCTGTGCGTTTTGGATGCAGAAAAAAAGCAACTGAAATGCATGTAGTGTGAACTGGCCCTAAAGCAGAACTGGAGAAATTACCCATGCAGTGGGTTCCACTCACACTGAAAGGGTTAAATGGGAGTTTTTGCCTGGAGTACCAGGTAACAGCCCTTTTTACTCACTTTATCCCTCACTCAGGCAGTTGGCACTCACCTCTTCAGGTGGCCGGTGGCTTGGAAGGTGGAGCATGAGGAAGTGAGGGATAAGGTAAGTGTGATTTTTACTGGTACCCTAGGCACAAAAACAAGGACTTAACCCTTTCAATGCGGGGGGAGCCCCACTGAAAGGGGCATTTTTACAAATTTCCCAAGTTCACCTTTAAGCTATTCCATGTGCGTATCTAAAATGTGTAACGGTGACCTGTCGTTGTTCTATGACTATTAAAGCTTTTATAAATTATATGGGCAGCACACTGGCTAAATGATTAGCACTTCCGCCTGGCAGTACTCGGGTTGTTGGTTCAAATCCCAACCACAGCACCACCTGCCCGCAGTTTGCATGTTCTCTCTGTACCTGTGTAGGTTTCCTCCAGTTTCCTCCCACACTCCAAAGACATGCTGGTAGGTTAATTGGCTCCTGTCTAAATTGGCCCTAGTATGTGTATGTATGAATGTGAGTTAGGGACCTTAGATTGTACGCCCCTTGAGGGTTAGGGACTGATGTGAATGTATAATATATGTGTAAAGCGCTGCGCAAATTGATGGCTCTATATAAGTACCTGAAATAAATATTTCCAGAGCTTAGAGTTTCAGCCCTCAAATTCCCTGCACAGCCGGCACCCTTCAACAAATACTGATTCTGAGTGCACCAGTTTTTATAAATATCCCCCTTGTTCTGTATAAATATAATAAAAATGACAGAATCTTCTATTTATTGAAAAAATAAACGCTCACCACATGGTCAAACACTTGTAAATAAATGGGTAATTTCAAGCATGTGAGTAAATATAAAAAATGGCCAGCAGGTGTCAGTCTTCCTCTTATCAATATATACAGTTGTGTCCAAAATTATTCAACCCCCACTGAAATTGAGTGTTTTGGCCAGTTTGACATTGCTTTTGATCATTCAGTCATCTTGCTTACATTTACATTAAAGAGGCACTTGTAGGTCAGACAAATATAACATAACAGTTATATATGAAATAACCACAAATGTCTTTTCTGTGCTCACAGCATTATCAGTTTTATTCAACCCCAAGTGACATTCAATCTTAGTACTTAGTACAGCATCCTTTTACAGTTATAACAGCTTTTAAACGTGAAGCATAGCTTGACACAAGTGTCTTGCAGCGATCTACGGGTATCTTCGCCCATTCTTCATGGGCATAGGCCTCCAGTTCAGTCACATTCTTAGGCTTGCGCACTGCAACTGCTTTCTTTAAGTCCCACCAGAGGTTCTCAATCGGATTTAAGTCTGGTGACTGCGATGGCCACTCCAAAATGTTCCAGCCTTTCCTCTGCAACCATGCTCTAGTGGACTTGGAGGTATGCTTGGGATCATTGTCCTGTTGAAAGGTCCAACGTCTCCCAAGCCTCAGGTGTGTGTGACGGACTGCATCACGTTTCCATCCAATATCTCCTGGTACTGAAGAGAATTCATGGTACCTTGCACACGCTGAAGCTTCCCTGTACCTGCAGAAGCAAAACAGCCCCAAAGCATGATTGACCCTCCACCATGCTTCACAGTAGGCAAGGTGTTCTTTTCATCATAGGCCTTGTTCTTCCTCCTCCAAACATAGCGTTGATCCATGGGCCCAAACAGTTCTAATTTTGTTTCATCAGTCCACAGAACACTATCCCACAACTTTTGTGGTTTGTCCACATGGCTTTTGGCATACTGCAGTCGACTCTTCTTATTCTTTGGAGACAGCAAGGGGGTACGCCTGGGAGTTCTGGCACGGAGGCCTTCATTACGCAGTGTGCGTCTTATTGTCTGGGCTGAAACTTCTGTACCCACATCTGACAAATCTTTTCTCAGTTCCTCAGCAGTCACACGGGGACTTCTCTCCACTCTACGCTTCAGGTAGCGCACAGCAGTCGAAGTCAGCATCTTCTTTCTGCCACGACCAGGTAGCGTTTCAACAGTGCCCTTTGCCTTGAATTTGCGAATGATGCTTCCTAAGGTGTCTCTTGGTATGTTTAACATCTTTGCAATCTTCTTATAGCCATTGCCCTTCCTGTGAAGAGAAATCACCTCTTCTCTTGTCTTCCTGGACCATTCTCTTGCCTTCACCATGTTTGTAACCACACCAGTAAATGTCTAGAAGGAGCTGAGTATCACAGTCATTTTAAAGCTGCCTAATTGGTGCTTATTATGCTTGATTGCTGCTCGGTGACATCCACAGGTGTTTTCAATACCTGATGGAAAGCACCTGTATGAACCTCTGTTCTTCAGAGTGGTAGTCTTTAAGGGGTTGAATAATTGTGGCAATGAAGAAACCACATAAGAACCATTTACTACTGTATTACATAAACAATTGATGTCATTTTAGTTGCATTTGGGTAGTTACAACGTCCTTGTAGGATTTGATTCTGAATACAATTCCAAATGTACAACTATAGTCCCTAAACCCCTTTACAGCATTGGGGGTTGAATAATTTTGGACACAAACTGTACACTCACAGGCCACTTTTAGGCACACCTGGCTAGTGCCAAGGCAATCTCCCCCTCACCCACCATTACACCACATCATCAGCCTGAACCAGTGATACAAGGCAGGATGTATCCATGCTTTCATGTTGTTCACATCAAATTCTGACCCTGCCATCTGAATGTCGCAGCAACCAGTCTGCCCATTCTCCTCTGACCTCTGACATCAACAAGCACTTTCCTTCACTCACTGGATATTTTCTCCTTTTCGGACCATTCTCCGTAAACCCTAGAGATGGTTGTGCGTGAAAGTCCCAGTAGATCAGCAGTTTTTTAAATATTTTAGAACAGCCCGTCTGGCACCAACAACCATGCCACGATCAAAGTCACGTAAGTCCCCTTTCTGTCCCATGCTGATGCTTGGTTTGTACTTCAGCAAGTCGTCTTCACCACATCTAGATGCCTAAATGCATTGAGTTGCTGCCATGTGATTGGCTGATTAGCAATTTGTGTTACCAAGCAATTGAACAGGTGTACCTAATAAAGTGGCCAGTGAGTGTACAATATTCATTTACAACTTGTTTCCTACCATAAATATGTAAATTCATAGTGTAGTATTTTCAACACAATTAAACAGCAAAGTGAACTTGTGCTCACATAAAGTGCAATCCTTAAATAAACCGTGTGTGCTCCCAATCTTCCTACTAATCCAACCACTGAGGTGCTGCACCCACGTTCAATGGACGCTCATCAAATAGGGCGACCCATAGATCACATAGGGTCATATATGGCAGGGCTTAAAATTTCAAGTCCTGAGCTACTAGCTGCTACTAGCCAGGCCTTAGAGTTACTCACCACCAACAAACACACACAGAGACACATGTACATACAGACACATGTATACACACACAGGCACGTACAGACACGCTTACACACAGATACATGTACATACACAGAAATACACATGCACAGACACGTACATACACACAGACACATGTGCATACAGACACATGTACACACAGACACATGTACACACAGACACATGTACGTACAAACACACATGTACATGCACACACACACAGACACATGTACACACACACATACATGCACATACACACAGACACATGTACAGATACACACATGTACATACACACAGACACATGTACAATTGTACATGCATACAGGGACGGACTGACCATTCGAGCACTTGGGCACTGCCCGAAGGCCCGGGGTCAGTAGGGGGCCCTATGAGATGCCCCTGGTACCTTTCATTGGCTTTTTCATAGGCTTTTTTGGGTGTGGGCGAGGACACAGGGGCCCCTTGATCCCCTACTTCCCGGGCCCCCATGGGTTGTCAGTCCACCCCTGCATGCATACACAGACATGTACACGTACACCCCCTCCATAAAAAGTTGCAGTACTTTGTTGTTCACTCACAGAGCCGGGGTACTGCACTCTAGGGGGAGGCAGAGAGCACAGTACACACTCCTTGCTTTGCTTTCACTGTGCTCAGCTATTGAGCAGTCTGACGGCTCCCAGTGCCAATGACAGATCCGGCCTGAGCTCCAACCCTGCTCAGCAAGACGGCTCTGGGGGACACACTTGCCCCCACCATAATTTCCACTCGCCATTGGCGAGCAGACGAGTGGAAATTTCAAGCCCTGATATATGGAATATCATAGCGATCCCCCTTGGTCACTGAATTCTCTCTCCTTGGACACACTTCATATACCTCCAAAAGATATTATAAAAGAAGCAGCCCCATAGTGTAGGATCACCACTTGCCCTCCTGAGGATTTACCCCCTTTCCTGACCAGGCCATTTTTTGTGTTCCGGCGCTGCATCACTTTAACTGGCAATTGCGTGGTAATGCAACACTGCACCCAAATGAACTTTGTGTCCTTTTTTTTCACATGAATTGAGCTTTCTTTCAGTGGTATTTGATCGCCTGTGCATTTTTATTTTTTGTACTGACAATTTTGCGGAAAAAAAATATTGTTTACTTTTTGCTATTAAACACGTCCAGTAAAAAATTTAAAAAATCAAATTTCTTCATAAATTTAGGCCAAAATGTATTCTGCTACATGTCTGCTAAAAAAAATCCCAATACGTGTAAATGAATTGGTTTATGTGAAAGTTATAGCGTTTACAAATGGCGGTATATATACTGGGGTTTTTTAATTATTTTTTTAATACTAATGGCGGCGAACAATGACTTATAGGGGGGACTGCGGCGGGCATTCTGACACTGGGAAGGAACTGACTTGGTGTCACTAACATCCCGAGTGACACCAATACAGTGATCAGTGCTAAGAAAAAGCACTGACACTGTACTAATGGCACTGGGCAGGAAGGGGTTAACAAGTGGGGTGATCAAAGGGTTAACTGTGTGCTGTTTTACATACTGGGCTGTGTGTGTGCTTCACTATAAGCACACTGCTTTGTATGGCTCTGTTATGCAGAGCCATACAAAGTAGTGTGCAGGAGCTGATGGGAGAGAATTGTATTGTTTACAAACAGTTCTCTTCCCCGTCTGAGATGCTCGGCATGTAGTCACTGGCCGGGACCCGGTGATTGACAGCCAAGGCCACGAATGGCGGCACGTAAAATGCAAAATCACATATATATACATGATTTTGCGCACCTCTGTAGCCCTATAGCAGTATTTCTGCTATAGGGCAGTGGTAAAGCGGTTATAAAACCTGTAACTCCAATAGACCCTTCTTGGGCTGGAGACCAAACATTCGCCCTGAGCTTGCATGCAATTCATCAAGGATGTGTAACATTTTCCTTCCTATGAAATCCCCATCGGAATTACCCTTCGCTTGTTTGGCAAACACTGCTATGTGATTCACACCTGCCATTGTCCCAATGACTCACAGCTATGGTCTAGCACAAAATAAATTACATTTGCTGTTGTGGTTTATAAAATGAAGTCTAATCTGTTTATTGTTGCCAGCTCTGGTTTCTCTTCCCCCACCCCCCTAAATAAAATCTTTCTGTTCTAATGACATACTGTGAGGGGGGGGGGGGGGTTACTAAAACAGGTGCACGCAGAATCTGGGTTCTAACTTCAGCTTTGACAATAAAACCTGGAAGCTGATTGGTTTTTATGCAGAGCTGCACCAGATTTTGCACTCTTCAGTTTTAGCAAATCAACCCCATATGTGTTTTAGATGTAGTAACATTATCACTGGGTCTCTGTGCTTTTCTATACTGCACAGGCAGATCATGGATGGTGGGATAGGCTGGCAGGGTGCTTTACATAGCTTCCAGAAAACCAGATAGGTGTGTAGCACCCTCTAGTGTGCAGTTAGAGTTAGGAAAATGTAATGGCTCACAGTTGTGTGATGAGTCTGGAGAATTGTTTTGGGTTTACTTTAGGTCAGACTGGAGGGCTTGTAAAGCCTGTAAGGTCAGACCTCTGGTGCCTTCCCCTGGTTCTAGAAGCTTCCAGAAAATTGTAGAAGCTAGTGAGCAGAGACAAAGAGGTGGTGATCTCCATATGTATGGGAGTCTGACCAGCCCAACTTATCAACCTACAGAAGACTGAATTAAAAAACACAGCAAAAATCAAAGTAAAAAAATGATGCAGCAGACTAGTCCATTTTGCTGAAATGTCATTGCAGAAACTCAGAATGGTCCGCAGTAGTTTGTATGGCCCCCATGTGCTTGTATGCATGCCTGACAATGTCGGGGCATGCTCCTAATGAGACAACGGATGGTGTCCTGGGGTATTTCCTCCCAGATCTGGACTGGGGCATCACTGAGCTCCTGGACAGTCTGGGTGACACCTAGCGGTGTCGGATGGACCCAAACATATCGCACAGGTGTTCTATTGGATTTAGGTCATTTAGGAACTGCCTGCATACTCCCGCCACATGGACAATGGGTCCAAGGATTTCATCCTGATACCTAATGGCAGTCAGGGTGCCATTGTCTAGTCTGTAGAGGTCTGGCGTCCCTCCATGGATGCCTCCCCAGACCATCACTGACCGACCACCAAAATGGTCATGTTGATGTTACAGGCAGCATAATGTTCTCCACAGCTTCTCCAGACCTTTTCACGTCTCTGTCACATGTGCTCAGGGTGAACCTGCTCTCATCTGTGAAAAGCACAGGGCGCCAGTGGTGGACATGCCAATTCTGCTGTTCAATGGCAAAAGCAATCAAGCTCTATGGTGCCAGGCAGTGATCACAGGGCCCACTAGAGGACGTCGGGCCCTCATTCCACCCTCATGAAGTCTGTTTCTCATTGTTTGGTCAGAGACATTCACACCAGTGGCCTGCTGGAGGTCATTTTGTAGGGCTCTGGCAGTGCTCATCCTGTTCCTCTCTTGCAAAAAAGAGCAGATACCGGTACTACTGATGGGTTTAGGACCTTCTACTGCCCTGCCCAGCTCTCCTAGAGTAACTGCTTGTCTCCTGGAATTTCCTCCATGCTCTTGAGACTGTGCTGGGAGACACAGCAAACCTTCTGGCAATGGCATGTATTGATGTGCCATCCTGGAGGAGTTGGACTGCTTGTGAAACCTCTGTAGGGTCCAGGAATCACCTCATGCTACCAGTAGTGACACTGACCCTAGCCAAATGCAAAACTAGTGAAAAACAATCAGAAAAGATGAGTTGGGAAAAAAATGTCTGTGTCCTGCACCTGTAAAACCATTCCTGTTTTGGGGTTTGTCTCATTGTTGCCCATCTAGTGCACCTGTTGTTAATTTCCTTAATATCAAAGCAGCTGAAACTGATTAACCAACCCCCTCTGCTACTTAACTGATCAGATCAATATTCTAGGAGTTTAATTGACTTGATGCTATACTCTGATTAAAAAGTGTTCCTCTCGGCTTCTTAGCAGAAAATCCTTACAGGAGCAGGCACGCACTACAGTCCCAAATCAGGTGTTACTCATATTGCCCCAGGAGCTGTCTGCCACCCAGCATCCAAAGGTAGTTCCTCAGTGAGGGAGATAAAAGATCCTTCTCCAGACCAGGATTTCAGGACAGTGCCCTCCAGCAAAAATCCATTAGTAATCTTCTCCAGGCCCTTAGTCCAACTCCTAATGAGACACAGATTTCAATACTTGTCTCATTAGCCATCTCCCAGGGCAGCAGCCCCTCAAGAACTGGAACCCTCCCTGGAGAGGAAAGAACACCCCGAGAAGACCTCCCATTCATTTATTATCCCCCCAGCCACCTTCTGGATGCTTCCTTCCAGGATCTGGCTGGATCATGATAAATGTACATTTGGTCATCTGAAGCTCCCTGCCCCATATTCTGGATATTTCTCCTAGAAGCAAGTAAGTGAAATCAAACATCCAGTTAGGAAACCCTGACCCGACAAAAACTATAGATCACTGCTCCACTGAAACCAACAACCTAACTAGAGGAGGGTGCTACACAATGTTATGTACGTGTGCTTAAAGTAATTCTAAACGTTCAGTTTTGTTTTTTTTAAATAACAAACATACTTACTTGCAATGGTCTTGCACAGAGCAGCCATGATTCTTTTCTTCTCGGGCCCCCCCGTTGGTGCTCCTGGCTCCCCCCCCCTTGACCAATGCCCCAAACAGCAAGCCGCTTGCTATGGAGCACTGGTGTGTGCTCACTCCCGAGCCACGCTGTATGCATCCATAAGACACATAGAACCCCGGCTCAGCCCAGCCCCCCCTTCCCCTCTCGCTCTCTCCTCATTGGCTCATTGTGTTTGACAGCAGTGGAAGCCAATAAGGTTAGCCCACTGTTGGCTGAAAAAGGGTCACAGGAGTGCAGAATGAACTGTCTTCCTGTGATCCACACGAGATGTACTGCCGAAGAAGCTTTGGCTGTGCTGCTCCTTTAAGGTAATGTCACCTCTACCCCTGGTTACTAGGGGGCATTTACATGAATTTCAGTTTTAAAGCAGTATTGAACACAAGGCAAACATTTATTATATTGCAGATCACCAATCCTTACATGTAGTAGCTGTATTCATTTCTTTCTCAGGCTCTCTTTCTTTTACTTTAACATGGTGATCTGGTCAGTAACTCTGCTATCCTGCAAAAGTCGCAGTTAGAGGGTTGAGAAAAAACCATATTCCTAGATTGTAAGATCGAAAGAGCAGGGCCCTTGAACCCCTCGTGTTCTGTTTTGTTACTATATTGTCTCATGTACTGTCCCCCACTATAATGTACAGCGCTGAGCAAACCCTTTAGCGCTATATAAATACTGTATAATAATAATAATAATAACACCAAGACGGCTTTCATTATTTATTTAGTTAGTTATGTAAAATCTTTATTCCAAGAAGAAAATAAAACTGCTGTAACAGCTTCTAAAGAGTGGTCTGGAGTTTGTCTTAATTTGTTATTGTATCTAAATCTGCCAGTACATCTAACACTCTTCCCTAGAGACTAACAATGCTGCTGTGTGCTGTATCCCCTGTGCTCCTTCATCCAGAGTGGAAGCATTCTAATACAAGAGGTGTGTTACTGTCCAGAACCAGAAACGACCTCTCCTGCGCTCTATGACCCAGAATAAGGGTGGGTGGATGGATGGAGCCAGGACTTGAAAAATTCGACCTCCAATGCATATAGGGTTGTGCAGCTCTAAACAAGGCTGGGGAAGCCCGACCAGTACTGCGAAGCGAAACAAAACAGAAAGCGCACCAACCTTGCACATTACCTCAGTAAACCAAAA